TGACGACGAAAAAGACCGAAGGGGCCGGCCAGCTGGTCCACATCTGGTCTGGCCGAGGCTGCGAGCCGTGTGGTTGGAGCGCCCTCCTCTGATTTGTACGTGTCCCGCCCGTGGCAGAACGTCTTGTTATCTCTGAACCTCCTGCGTCTAGTTTGGGCTTTTCCTTTTTGATCACCCTCCTCCTCCTTCTCCTCCTCCTCCTCCTTCTCATGCTCTCATGCTCCTCCTGCTGCCTCTCTCCTGCTCATCCTGTTGCTCCTGCTGCTCTCGCTCCTTGCTCCTCCAACTCCTGTGCCTCTCCTGTCCCAGCACCTCATCCTCCCACACAATGTTCTTCTCAGCCTCCTCCTCCTCCTCCTCCTCCTCCTCCTGCTCCTGCTCCTTGATGTGTGAGGGATCCGCCGACGCTCTACTGGGGCACGCCCAGCGTGTAAAATCTGGCTCCAAGCGCGACGAGGTGCCATGGGCCGTCAGTTACAATGGACACGTGCGGTGAGAAGTCTTGTGACACGAAGTCGTAAAGGGCAAACTCTTCGTCGACCGGCGAGGGCCCTGAGGCGCTCTGGAGCCCCTGTGGGCCCCTGGGGCCATCGGGGGATGAAAGACATCTCCGCGCGGCGCCTGCCAGCGGGCCGACTTCCTATCCGCGGAGCCTGTCTGGAGCACGGGGGCGGTGCGCAGGCTCCGCGTCGACGAGCGGCCGAGCGATGGCGCTCGTCGGGAGGCTGCCCAGCGGAAGAGGCCGACGCGACGCACGCAGGGGGGACCGGTGAGGAGGAGGAGGAGGAGGAGGAGGAGGAGGAGGAGGAGGAGGAGGAGGGAGGAGGAGGAGGAGGAGGCCTCGCGCCTGCGAGGCGCGGCGGCCTCCGTTCGGGAGGCCGCGGCCACGGCCGCGGACAGCGGCTCTCCGCCCAGAGGCACCCGGAGAGCAGTGCCCGGAGAGCCCGTGGAGCGCCAGTTCTCTCTCTCGTCCTCCCTCCTCCATCCAACCTCCTCGTCCACATCTCTCTCCTCCTCCTCCTCCTCCTCATCCTCCTCCTCCTCCTTTTCCTCCTCCTCCTCCTCCTCGTCCTCCTCCGCCTCCTCCTCCTCCGCCTCCTCCTCCTCCTCCTCGATCTTCTCCTTGGGGCCGAGCGATTCGCAGGTCTTCCCTGCTGGGGTGGTCGTCCCTCCGAGCACCCGTCGCGTCCACCCCGTGCCCGTGCTCGCTTCCAGTGTTTCGGCCGTTTTGGAACTCCTTGGCGAGGCGTTCCCTCCTCGCCTTCCCCCACCACCCCAGGAAGCCCTCCTTTCGGGTCGGGCGAAAGGGGGGATAGCAAAGGGGGGGATTTGAGAATCAGCTCACGTAGCTGACTTTCCCGGCACCTCCCGGCGCCAGGAGGCGGCCATGTATCGAGGAATGGGCTCCTCGGTGGGGCTGAAACCAGCTGCATGCAGCCAATTTCGTAAGCCCCCCTTTCCCAATCCCCCCCTTTCGTCTGGCCCGATCCTTCCTTGGCAGCCCCACTCTGCGCGGGTGATGGCCCGATCGGGCGGCCGGGCGGGCACGCGCCTTCGACGGCGTCATTCATAGACGCGCGGTCCACCAGCGTCGCACGCACCTCAGTCGCGGTTCATGGCGACCCCGCCCACTCCCGTCGTCGCATGAGGTCCCCGCAGGTGCCCTGAGGCCTGAAAGGGCGCCCAGAACGTCATCCTAATCCTCGGTCCTCGAACCTCGAACGACGACGGCGGCGGCGACGACTGACGCATGCTATGGCGACCCAGGTCATTCGATAACAAGTTTTTCCGGTAGCACTTCGAAGGATCTGGTCGCGACCGTGCTGAAAATCAGCGCTCAAAGCCGGTAGCGAACGCATTGCACACACGATCGAAATCGCACTAGAAAAATGGGAGAGCGCTACCGAAATTGGTTTCAGAGCTGCCGAATTTGAGCGCGTCGTCGCTACCGAATTCTTCTGGCGCTACCGAACTTCGTTTCGGCGCTACCGATTTTCTCTAGATGGGGATCGTAGATTGCAGCATGATGACGATGATGATGACGATGGCGATGGCGATGATGGCGATGATGATGATGATGATGATGATGATGATGATGATGATGATGATGATGATGATGATGATGATGATGATGATGATGATGATGATGATGGTGATGATGATGATGATGATGATGATGGTGATGATGACGACGGTGATGATCTTCGTTCTTCTCAAATGCGCCCACGGCTAAAAAAAGAACAGCGTTTCACTCGGCATGTTGGAATCCATGTGTTTAGCGTCTTGAGGTCCCAACGAGAAGACTAACAACGATACAACACTATTGATTTGTTGTGCGTTTTCAGCTGCGTTGTTTCAGCATTCTCAGACCAGCTGGGTGCATTGTCTGAAGGTTGCCGTGGCCATCAGTGCTGGCGGGCCTGATGGCCGATTGCCCCTCCTCGGGCCATCGGGCCTCTGGGCCTGTTCCGGGCCGGCAGCAGACTGGTGTTAGAGCGTTTGCTTAGCGTTCTTTGGTGGGCTCGTTTTCCACCACCACCACCACCATACGTAGGAGGGGGAGGGGGTCATCTTCCTCCTCCTCCTCCTCCTCCTCTTCGTCCCCCTCCTCATCCTTCACCTCCTTCCCCCCTCCAACCTATGGTGGTGGTCGTGGAAAACAAGCCCGTGATTCTTAGCTCTGAGAGGGAGAACTCTGCAGCAGAAAAGAACAACCGGGAGCGAAGACAGCAGGGAAGACAAGGAACAGACTTCGACCAGAAGGCAACACAGGGCGAACGAAAATCATGATCCACAGCGAGGGGCCAACAAACACGAAAAACACAATGCAAAACGATACAACAACGCATAGCCTGGCGAAGGACCCAACCACATGTAGTCATGAGTAACGCAGTTGTGAATAATTATCGTCTTCGATGGAGCCCCATATGGGGCCGCGAAACGTGTAAGGGGTGTGCCGACATGGGTGGCTAGGGCGCATATGGGCACCGCCCGCCATTGAGGCCTTCGCTGGAGCTCCCATGGGGCCACGAACCGTGTGAGGGGTGTGTCGAAATAGGGCGCGGGGACACATGTGGGCACCGCCACTACGGCCTTCGGTGCTCCCAATGGGGCCACGAAACATGTGAAGTGTGTGCCGAAATGGGTGGCGGGGACGCATGTGGGCACCGCTACTGGGGCCTTCGGTCGAGCTTCCTATGGCACCACGAAGCGTGTGAGGGGTGTGCTGAAGTGGGTGGCGGGGGCGCACGTGGGCATCGCTTCTGGGGAATTCGGTGGAGCTCCCTGCGGGCCACGAAGCGTGCAACAGTGTACGGACATGTGTGGCGGGGACGCATGTGGCACAGTGGGCACCGCCATTGGGGCCTTCGCTGGAGCTCCCCATGGGGCCACGAAACGTGCGAGGTGTGTGCCGACATGTGTGGCGGGGGCGCATGTGGGCACCGCCATTAGGGCCTTCCGTGGAACACCCTATGGGGCCACGAAGCGTGTGAAGAGTGTGCCGAAATGGGCGGCGGGGGCGCATGTGGGCACCGCTGCTGGGGCCTTCGGTCGAGCTCCCTATGGGGACACGAAGCGTGTGAAGGATGTGCCGAAATGGTTGTCGGGGGCGCATGTGGGCACCGCCATCAGGGCCTTCCGTGGAGCACCCTATGGGGCCACGAAGCGTGTGATGGGTGTGCCGAAAGGGGTGGCGGGGACGCGCGTGGGCACCGCGACCGGGGCCTTCGGTGGAGCGCCCCATGGGGCCACGGAGCGGCAGGACGCCCGTCGAATCTCAGTGCCTGAACAAGTGTCCTCCCCCTCCCCCTCCTCCTCCGCCCCTGTTTGTCATTGCACACGGCTCCTCGCTGTGGGACCCCCAGAGGAGTCGGCAGGGCGGGCCGGGCGTTCCGCCTGAGACTTCAGTACCACCTGTGACCCTGAAGCTTGGCACCTGCAACAGCTGCACGGATGGAGGGGTGCCGGGTAAAGAATGGATACTCCAGATTTCTTAATAAAGGGAGGGGGTCTGGACCCTCCAAGACAAGCCATGTCAGACCTCCCCCGTGGGAGAACCCTCCAAAACATCGTCCCAAGACCCCCCAGGCCCTCCCAAGATAGCCTGGAAGAGACCCCCCCCGAAATGAGACCCCCCTCCCTTTACTACGAAATCTGGAGTACCTCTCGTCTCGACGCCGCGGGCACGCGTCTTACAAAAAGTTAACAGCAGCTGCCCGGATGCAGGGCGGCTGGTCTTCACAAAATAGGGCTCTGGCCTCAGCGCCGCGCGCACTCGACGTCAGTGTGTTGCAGCAGCTTTGCGCAGGGGCGTGGGTCGTTTTCGACATGTGGCTATCGCTTAGGTGCCGCGCGCATTCGACGTCAGTGTTTGCAGCAGCTTTACGCATGGACGTGGGTCGTTTTCGACATGTGGCTATCGCTTAAGTGCCGCGCGCATTCGACATCAGTGTTTGCAGCAGCTTTACGCATGGACGTGGGTCGTTTTCGACATGTGGCTATCGCTTAGGTGCCGCGCGCATTCTGTTAAAAAATGTGCCACACCCTCACGGGTGGAAAAAGCGGCTCCAGCCTTCACACCGCGCGCACAAGCTTGAACAGCTACAGCAGCTTCAAACAGCAGGTGGCGGCGTGTTCAACCTGTCGTGTTCGCCTCAGCGCCGAAGACGTCCGTCTTAAAAAATTGCTGCAACTTCACGGATGCTGGGGGGTCGTTTTCAAAATGCGGTTCCCGCATGATCGCCGCGACGATCCGTCTTAACACGTGGCATTGGTTTAGTAACATGGCGAGGGGATCATGTTCAACGTGGTGCTCTCGCCTGGGCACCGCGCACATTCTCTTTAACAGTCCTCACTATCAGCGCGCTTCCTTTTCCAAGGGGGCCTGCCTCAGCACCTCGAGTATTCCCTTCAACGTCTTGCAGCAGCGTCAAATCTTGAGCGGTGGCCGTTTCCACAAGGCGGCTACCGCCTCAGCGCCGCGCGCATTCAAAATGTAGATCTCGCCTGAGACTTTGCTACGGCAGGTTCGTGTCGTGCCGACCCCAGCGTTGGTTTTTGACACCGCAGGGATCGTTTAACCTTGAACGATCGGCCGCTGCCGCAACGTCGGATCGTTCAACGTCGATCGATTCGGGGTCGCCGGCGGCGTTCAACCTTGAACGCCCGCGCTGGAGTCGCCGCTGGTCGACACGACGCAAACCTACCGTAGATTTACAGGCCCGGCAATTCAGCGCACGCAGCGCCGCGCGGAACCTCAGCGGCAGCTGCACCCGGATGGGGGAGGGGCGGCGGTCCTGCTGCGAAAGGGGGGATGTCGCTGGACCCCCCGCCTGCCTGTACGAGAAGTGCTTGCTCGCGATAGCACGCCGGGCAGGTGAGGCAATTCCCTTGCAGGGCAAGGGCCCTCGCCAAGAGCATAGGCCGAAGTGCGCTGGTCACTCAAGGGGTGCGCTTCCCGTAGTGACAGGGAGAACTTGCAGGGGCGCGTGAGGGGATTTCGATGGGAGGGCCTCCTCCTTCTACCCCCCCCCTCTCCCACCTCACCCTGCTCTTTCTCCCTCTCTCTCTCTCTCGTTATGATACGCCCCGTCCGCCCCATATCGGCTACACGCAAGAGTGACCCTGGGCAAGAGTGACCTCTGGTGCGCGGCTCTTGGGGGGGCCGCGGGGGGACCAAACACAGGCGCGCAAGACGCTACTACCGCCTCGGGTTCGGCGATCGGGGGGCCCCATTGGGCCCGCACCAAAGGTCACTCCGGCGAAAGGCCACTCTTACGTGTACACGACCATACCCGGCCCCGGGGCGCGCGCGTAGTGCTGCCCGGGCTCGAACAGGCCGAACTCCACAGGCCCGAACACGTTGACCTCGTTGACCTCCGGTCGCGGGCGCCCCAGAATAAAGGGGCCCCAGGACACACAAATAAATACACAAAAATAAAAAGATCCCCCATATTTTCCCATATTTTCTGGGTTTCTGTCTTCCCGCCCACTTCCCATATTTTCCAATATTTTCTTGGAAATCGAGGATTAATTGTGTCTGTGAGTTTTTTTCCCTCCTGACAGAAGGAGGGAGAGAGCGGGAGGGGGGGACGGGAAAGCCGTAGAGAGAACGGAACGACGGCACAAACACAGACTTCCGTTAACGGGCGAAGAACGGTAGAAAATCAACTTTTTCGCCGTCGGGGACACCTGCCCCTGGGCGGCTGGAAAGTTTGTACCCCTACGGTGGCACCGTGAGGGAAGAAACTGTCCAGCCGCCCAGGGGCAGGTGTCCCCGACGGCGAAAAAGTTTATTTTCTACCGCTCTTCGCCCGTCAATTCCAGAAGTTGAGCAGCAGGAGGAGGGGGAGGAGGAGGAGGAGGAGGAGGAGGAGGAGGAGGAGGAGGAGGGGAGGAGGAGGAGGAGGAGGAGGAGGAGGAGGAGGAGGAGGAGGAGGAGGAGCAGCACGCGGACCCTTGGATCGGCGAGGGGCCCCCTCCCTCCCTGGCGCTTGGAGCGCGCCCAGGCCTGGCGCCGAAGACGCCACCAGAAGGTCCCGCGCGCAGGTCCGAGACATCCGCGCGGGCCCTGTGGCAATTTCTGTTCGTGCAGCCTTGCCTTCACTTTGGACACCCGAAATGGGTACCGAAAGAACGGGTACAATGCCCAACAGCAAATGTTGTCCCAAACCAACAGCAGCCGCTGTTGGGCAGGCGGCCTTCTGTCTCGAATGGACAGAGGCCGCGGCGGCGTGGACAGCGGATCTGGTTCAAAATGAACAGGAACTGCTGTTGGGCATAGTGCCCATTCTTTCCGTGCCCATCTCGGGCGTCCAGATTCTCCAGGGAGTTACGAGTGGGGGACGCCAAAAGGTTTCCGATGCCGCTACTCCCCGGACCTCTCCTGGGGCGCGTTCTGACCAGGAGTTCGAGGCGAATCCAGCGGTGGCGACGACGGAGGCCCAGGAGGCCCCAAAAGGGGAAATTGAGGGGAAGGTAGCGGTATGAATGCAGTAGGGGCCCGACCACAAGAAACCTTCCACAAGAAACCCAACCCTGAGACCCCAGGACGCCCCTGGTTTTCTGGTGTGGGAACGTCACGCTCTCCATCGCAAAACCATCGGAACCCAAAAAACCCAGGGCACCCTAGAGGCAATGAGGGTGGGTCTTAGTCTTGGCATGGGCCCCAACTGTACCCTGTACCTTTTCCTCCTCTGAACGATCGCCTCCTAAGTTCCGTCCGCCCCCTAAGGAGGACGGAAAAGGTGAGGCCGCACGAGCATTAAACTAGGAAGGCGCCTACAGTGGGTTGGAATCTGGGAGTCCTAAAATACCTACTTTCAACGACCGATGGGTAGAGGTATGTTAGGAGGCAACTACTGGGAGGTCTTCGTCGGAAGGAATAAGGAGGATTAAGCCCCAGTGGGGGGCTGCTACGCCAGATCGCTCCGCGGATTAAGCGGGATTGAGCCAGATCAGGCGGGATTAATCCTGATTAAAGCGGGGTTAAGCCGGAGTCAGCGGGACCATGCCGGATTGCGGACCAGGGCAAGATCAGAAGTTGACCTCCCGGGAGTTGCATCCCAAGGCATGCGCGGGGAAGATTCGAGACCATATCCATTGTGGCTTGAAGTTTGGGCTCCCTTCCCCGGAAACCCGAGGCGCACTGGATATGGATAAGAGTCCGGCCCCCAGAGGCTCGATTTTTGTCTATATCCAGTGCGCCGCGGCCTTGTGGCACCCCTTCCAAGTAAGTCCAAGGCGCACTGGATGTGGATATAACTCTCGCCCGCAGCATGGGTACCTTTCCCTCCTCTGACCCATGGCCCGCTCACTGACTACCTACCAGACCACCCCAACCCAACCCGAAGCCCCGAATTTCGGGTTGGGGGGGGTAAGGGTTCCACATGTGTTTTCTCGATGTTTCCCGACCCCCCCCCCCGACTGGAAATCGAGGGTAAAGTGGGGCCTTCGGGTTGGGCTGGGGTGGTTTGGTGGGCGGTGACTCACCCGCCCCCGGCCGGGCCGCCGCCCCGGGGGGAAGCAGGATGGGCCGGCGCCGCCCAGGCCGACGGGGGCGCCGCCCGCGGCCCCTGGCGGAAGCCAACGGGGCACGGCGCTGGGAGGCGTCTCTCGGTGAGCGTCTTCCTGCAGTAGGCTGCTAGGTTAGGACCCAGACCCCCGACGTAATGATTTTTTCATTACGTCGACCCCCAGAGGTCCCGACCCCTTCCCCAGGACCGGTTTGTCATCCTGAGTCGTTTTTTGACGCGCCCGAGGCCCGGTGAGGGCCCCCAGAGGCCGAAAATTGCGAAAAACGAACCCGAGTTATCCCTGACCCGAGTTACCCCTGATGATTCGGGGCTCTGATAGGCTGCTAGGTTAGGAGGCAACTACTGGGAGGCTTTGTCGGAAAAACGAAGGGGGATGGAGCCCCATTTGGGAGCTAGTACGTCGGAGTGGGCCTCGGACTAAGCAGGATCAAGCCGGATTGAGCGGGATTCAGCTGGTTTAAGCCGGATTTGGGACCAGGGCGAAAACAGAATTTGACCTCCCAGGAGTTGCATCCGAAAACAAGGGCCCGACCACAAGAAACCTTCCGCAAGAGACTCAACCCTGAGACCCCAGGACATCCATGGATCTTTGATGAGGGCACGTCACGCCTTCCATCGCAAAAAAAACATCTGAGCCCAAACCCAGGGCACCCTGGAGGCAAGCAGGGTGTTTCTTGGCATGGGCCCCCACTGTATTCGGCGTTCTGGCATTGGGCGGAAGGGGGGGGGAGGGGATGGGTCTGGCTCCGGACCGCTGCTTAGTGCGACTGCTTGCAGCAGTGCGCCCTATGGTTTGAGAGCCCACCTGCGCGAAAAAAAGCGCAGAACGGCCAAGATCTACTCCATAGAGGGTGGGGGGGTGGGGGGGCGAGGGCCCGCGCCGATCGGCAAAGCAATGAATAAACAAGCGACCTCTCGTGTGAGGGGAGGCAGGTGCTGCCCGGCTTGCCCGGTGGGAAAAAGCAAACACCTGCGACCAAACATCGGGGCGGCGCCTGCTTCTGCAAGCGGGCTCGGAGGGCAGGGCAGGAGAAGCTGCTTCTCTTGAGCGCCAGGCGCAACCAGAACAGCGAACCTGCGGTGGCGCGGGATATCCCGGGCTCACGAACGCAGCACGGCGAACGCTGCAAAAGCACGACGTCGCAGGGGGGGGGCCATTCCCCTCGGAGGGTGCGAAGGCCTGCAGCGGACCCAGACCCCCGCGCAATGATTTTTTCATTACGTCGACCCCCAGAGGTCCCGACCCCTTCCCCAGGACCGGTTTGTCGTCCTGAGTCGTTTTTGACGCGCCCGAGGCCCGGTGAGGGCCCCCAGAGGCCGAAAATGGCGGAAAACCTCCCGTCGTGATTCTTTCATGACTCGAGGGGGCCTGGGGAGGCTGGGAGGCCAGGGGGCCCACGAGCGCGCCGAGCACGACACAGGACGAAGGCCCGAGGCGCGCCCGATCGGTCGCCCTGCTGGGCGGCGGCCGCTGGGCGCCCCGCGGGCGCCCCCGCGGGCCCTGGGCTGGACGGGCCTGTCGGGGCCTCGCCCCCGGCGGGCGGCCGCGGGCGCCGCGTGGGCGCCTCGCGCGGGCGGCTTGCACAGCCGACGCCGCGCGGCGTGCGCCACGCGGCCTGCAGCGCACAGCCTGCGTCCCAGACCCCCTCGAGTCATGAAAAAATCACGACGGGAGGTTTTTCGCCATTTTCGGCCTCTGGGGGCCCTCACCGGGCCTCGGGCGCGTCAAAAAACGACTCGGGATGACAAACCGGTCCTGGGGAAGGGGTCGGGACCTCTGGGGGTCGACGTAATGAAAAAATCATTACGTCGGGGGTCTGGGGTTAAGTCGGGCCTGTCCCCCCCACAGGGGGATTTTCGACGAGAAACAGAAAATACCCCAAAAATGATCCAACAATAGTCCCAAAACAGTGTGGGGACTACTCTTGGGTTTTTTTGAACCGTCTTGGGGGTATGTTTGGGGTATTTTCTATGTTTCGTCGAAAATCCCCCTGTAGGGGGACAGGCCCGACTTCAAGCTTGCGCCGCACAGCTTGCCCCGGAGGGCCTGCGCCCAGTGGCCGAGCAGACGCAGCCTGCACCGCACGCTGCCTGCGCCTCGTGGCCTGCACGGCGCAGCTTGCACCACGCATAAGTTGCACCGCACTGCTTTTCAACCATCACAGCTTGCACCGCACAGGCTGCACAGCATAGCTTCCACACGCAGGGTGCAAGACACTACTGATTGGAGCCCACGCTGGCAAACCATGCACGCACATTCTCGAAGTCGCATTGCAGCGACCTTTCCCACTTCTGCCCTGACATCGCGCACCTGCCGTGTGGCCATGGCGCAGGCCCGGGGGGAAGGCAGAGAGGCACGTTCGGGGTCAGGAGAGCCTTCAAACTCAGAAGCGACACGCGGATTGAACCAGAACCTGCGAGCGCCACGGGGCCCATCTCCAGCAAGGTTTGTTGCCTCATGTGTAAATCGCCAGTGCTGGTGAAGTGAGCGATTTGGACGCCCGAAATCGGTCCTGTTCAAAAGGAACAGGAACTGCTGTTGGGCATTGTACCCATTCTTTCCGTACCCTCTCGTTCGTGCCGAAAAGCGAGTGCGGTGCACGGGCGCTTCTTTCGAACACCCGGCAGCGAGGCCCCCCAGGCCAGGGGTCCGGCCCAGCAAACATGGGACTTCCGGCCCCTCCCCGCCTGCGGGGCAACCAGGCCCGTCCGCCCCCCTCTTCGCGCCAGCTGGCGACGCCGATAACGCCGAAGTCGACGCCGCAGCCGACGCCGATGACGACGAAGGCGACCTCGACGATGTCGAAGACGAGGATGGCGGCGACGACGACTGCTACGACCGAGGGCGACGACGCGGGCGGGACAGCATCACGAAAGCCAGCGGGTGGATCGGGCGGATGGACATCGCAACGGGCGAGTCAGCAAGGCAGGCTGGACATGAACGCAGGCGGCTGAGGCCTCCTGCGCCTCTGCTTCGTCCGCCGGTCTCGTCCGCTTCTCGCGCTCTCTCCGCCTCCTCCTGGGCCCATCCTCCGCCCCGGAGGGCGCAGGTCGCCGCGGGAGCTCGTCGAGATGTTGTGTGGGTGCGATGTGCGGCTCGCGTGGTAGACCCGATCGCTCGAATCCGTCGTCAGTGGCGGGAAGTGTCCACAACGAAGCTCGTGGTCGCCCAGCGGCGAGCTGCAGGCAGAGACGGGGCCCACGCTTAAAGGGGCCCCAGGACACACACAAATAAATACACACAAATAAAAAAAGATTCCCCCATATTTTCCCACACTTTCTGGGTTTTTGTCTTCCCCCCCACTTCCCATATTCTCCTCTATTTTCTGGGAAATCGACGATTCATTGTGTCTGTGTGTTTTTTCCTCTCCTGACAGAAGGAGGGAGAGAGCAGGAGGGGGGGACGGGAAAGCCATAGAGAGAACGGAACGACGGCACAAACACAGACTTCCATTCACGGGCGAAGAGCGGTAGAACAAACAACTTCCCCACTTCCCATCTTTTCCCATATCTTCCCCTATTTTCTGGGACATCGACGACTCATTGTGTCTGTGTGCTTTTTCCTCGCCCGAAGACGCTCCCCCCGCAGCAGCGCCACCGCGCCCGCCTGGCGGCGGGACGGCCCGCCCTCCCGCGAGGCGCGCCGCAGGGGGGCCCCGAGGCCCGATCGGGACACGGGGGGCACGGCGCGCCAGGGCCGCCCCTCCGGAGTCGCCCGCCGAGGCGCCGGCGGGGCCTTCGTGCGGAAGTGGGCTGCGAGGCATTCGGGGGGGGGGAGGGGGCGAAGCTTTGGGAACAAGCAGTTGTTTTGATCCGCGGGGGGTCGAGACGTGACGGGGGGCACGGCGCACGGGCCGCCCCTCCAGAGTCGCCCGCCGAGGCGCCGGCGGGGCCTTCGTGCGGAAGTGGGCTGCGAGGCATTCGGGGCGGGCGACAGGGGGGGATAGCAAAGGGGGGGCTTGAGAATCAGCTCGCGTATAGCTGATTTGCCCGGCGCCTCCCGGCGCCGGGAGGCGCCCATGTATCGAGGAAGTGGGCCCGGCGGCGGGGCGGAAACCAGCTGCATGCAGCAAATTTCGTACCCCCCCCCCCTTTCCCAATCCCCCGCTTTCGCCCGGCCCGAGTTTTAAGGCGCCTGTTTTGTAACTGGGGGGGGGGGGGTCCGGTATATCAGGGCGCCTTCTTGGGATTGGAACTCAGGGGGTCCGGTCAATTCAGGCGCCCCGTCGAAGAGGGGGGGTCCGGAATACTAGGTCGCATTTGAAGGGGGGTGTTATAGTCTGGTTTTTCAGGGGGGGTCGATCGATAAGGGATTTGGAGTAACCACGCCGTGAGGGGATCCGGGGTCACCGCACGGTTTTGGGGCTGGGGCCGTTCTCCGAGGATGTCTCGGGCGACGGGAGCCTCCAGGGTCACAAAGCCGCGCGGTGACGGACCCTGCGGCGAGGTCTTTTGCGGATTTCGAGGTCACCGCCGGGTCTATCACCAAACGGTTTTGGGACCCCCAAGGTTGGGGGAGCAGAAGCGATGTCAATAACACGCCGGCGTGAGGAACCGATCAGCGTGCTACTGCAAGAGGCCACCTAGGCTGGGTCCGAGTAGATGGGGTCGGAGAATGGCGCCGCACCAGCGATGCATCGGCGATGCATCGGCGATGCCTCGGCGACGTCGGCGATGCATCGAAGACGTCGGCGTGAAGAAAACACGGGCTCCACATCAAGCCGCATCGTCGATGCATCGGCGATGCGCCGCGATCCTCCGACACCATCCGCTCCGACTCCATCCGGGAGGCCAAGGACTGCCAGAGGGACACCGGGCCTTCGGACAAGAACGGAGGAGTAACACGCTGACGCCGGGCGGACCAGCAGCAGCGTGTCACTGACACAGTCGAGGCGTTGACCTAAGGAACCCCAAATAAGGAACGGGGCCCCCTCTTCCCATACGTTCAACCTCGACTCCCCATGGAACACCTCGAGGCAAAACCCGAGGCAAAACCTGAAACGATCCAGGAACACCGAGCCCCTCCCCAACGAAGAGGGTTCGCGCCCCGACTGTACCCCCTTTCTTGGGCGCCCGAGTGATCCGGGGTAACTCGGGTCCGGGGTAACTCGGGATTGGATTCCCGTAAAACGAACCCGAGTTAGCCCTGACCCGAGTTACCCCTGATGAGTTGGGGCTCTGGACGCCCGAATTATCCGGGGTGACTCGGGCCCGGGGCAACTCGGGGCAACTCGGGCTCGGAATCCCGAAAAACGAACCCGAGTTAGCCCCGACCCGAGTTACCCCTGATGATTCGGGGCTCTGACTTTCCCTCTCTCGAGCGATCGCCCTCTTCCAGCGGCCCTCCGCGTCCGGCCCACGGGGCGCGCCGTGAAGTCGCTGGGCCGCACGGTGTCCTGCACGAGCACCTGGCACGGCCCCCGCCGCAGGGGGGGCGCGCGGGGGTGGGCACGGCGCGGGTCGCTGCGCCGGCCCCTGCGGCACCCCCACTCGGGAGAGCAGCTGGGAGGCCGCAGGGTGGCCTCTCGGGGGAGGAGAGCGAGAGCCGAGGGGGGGAGGACAGGAAGCAGCTGCACGTGCAGGAAGGGCACGGGGGGGTAGCTCGGTGAGCAGCAGGGGTGCAGAACGAGCACGGAGGACGTTCCAGGGGAGAGGGTAGCCGAGGAAACGAATGGAGAGCGGCTTGAGAGGGGCAGACGATCGCATGAACATACCCTGTCGACAGCCCGGGCGGAATGCTTGGATCTGCGCTGGACCTCCCTCTCCCTGGCGCGCGGAGCGCGCCAGGGGCGGTGCCAGGGCGTCGCCAGAGGAACCAGCGCCGATCAAAAAAACCCGCGCGGAGCTCCGAAAGGTTATGGTTACGCACCTCTTTCTTTTCGGGGAGGAGCCCTGAGATCCAACGTCGTGGCAAACATTGCACCAAGGCGAACAAGCATGACCGGAGTCCTAGATCTGGACTTCTGCTGCGTTGCTCCAACCGCATGCCGATGTGCGATGGTCCCGGGGCCAGACTACGGCAGGTTCGTGTCGTGCCGACCCCGGCGTTGGTTTTTGACACCGCAGGGATCGTTCAACCTTGAACGATCGGCCGCTGCCGCAACGTCGGATCGTTCAACATCGATCGATTCTGGGTCGCCGGCGGCGTTCAACCTTGAACGCCCGCGCTGGGGTCGCCGACGGTCGACACGACGCGAACCTACCGTATGGGGGAAAACGCCCGCTGCGAACACTTGCAAAACGCCCGGATCTCGGAGGGGGAGCGCCGCCGAGGGGCCCGAGGGGAGAGCGGCGTGCGAGGCCGCAGGGGAGCCTCCCAGGACTCCGCCGCGGGCCGGCGCAGCAGGAGCTGCACCGAGAGGCCGTGCGTCCGGGTGTAGGTGCCAGACGCGGAGGGCACGAACTCCATCTGGGGGCCGCCGTGGCGCACGGGAGGGGGCAGGGCGAAGCTACCCCCTGGAGGTGCCTGCGCCGGAAGGGGGCAGCAGATGCAGAACAACGCGCCTATAGAGGGGCCCAGACACACACACACACCACACACCACACACACACACACACACATATATCAATGGACACACATCCAAGGATTCTCCATGTTGTCACACATGTTCTGGAGTTTCGTCCCCCCCCCACTCCCCATGTTTTCCCATCTGTTTTTCTGGGAAAGCGACGGTTCGTTGTGCCTGTGTGTTTTTCCCTCCTGAGTAACCTATGTGGTGTCCGCGCGGATTGCTTGGGTCGGTGCTGGACCACTGCCTGGCGAGCGTGAAGTTCCTGTGATATAGTTATCCTTTGTTTTTTCGGTGATCGCCTCGCTGCCCTCTCCCTCCCTCCCTCGATCCCCTCATCCCTCCTTCTAAGAGCCGCGACCAGACGTCGACGACATCAACTTGTTCGGGGCCGTGGGTTTCGGCATATTTGCGCCGCTGGTCCCTGCACGAATTGATCGTACATTCGCACCGGCCCGTCCACAGATTGGCCGGCGGACTCGCGTTTTCACTGGCCTGTCCCCTGTACCCCCCGCTCGGCGCCCCAACTGGTACCCCACCCCTCCTCTTTTTTCGGGTTTGGTAAATATGAGCGACGAAAATGTTTCGTTTTTCTCCTTTTCCTCCACCCCCTTCTCGCATTGCAGCGTGCGTGTGATTCTGCCCCATCGCCCATCATAAATATGAATTCGTAGCATCCAGGCCAAGCCGGCAACGCCCCCCCCCCCTCTCATCCTCTGCAACACTATTACGCGCGCGCACTCGTTTGCAAAACAAACAGTTCCCAAGAACCCCTTGCAACAGAAACGGGGCGAAGTGCACGCGCGCGCCGTCGCGCGCGCATGCCCACATCCTTGAAAACAACAGTAGGTGCCGCGGGGATTCCAAAATCGAGCGCCACGATAACGTACAAAACATACGGTTGCGCAACAGAGATTGTCAAAGAAAGTTTGCGTTCGCGCTCTGGCGGATTCTGGAGGAAACCACCGGTCTTCCAACATGTCCATAAGTTGCTACAGGACGGGCCCCTCGCGGGCGCAACAATCGCTCGGCCGCCCCCGCGCGCGTGCTGTCCTAAGAATCCTTGGCCGAAAACGGGACGAATTGCACGCGCGCGCTTTGTCGCGCGCGCCTCCCGAAATCTTTCAGAAACCTCGGGCGTCGCAAGGGTGTCAAAAACGAGTTCCTCGAACGCGCTTCAACGATCAGTGTTCCAAAGCAACCTGCGCGCGCGCTATTGCATTTTTTTTTTTTTTTTTTTTTTGTTTTTTTTGTTTTTTTCTCTCTCTCTCTCTCTCTCTCTCTCAATATATATATATATATATATATTATATATATATATATATAGTATATATGTGTATATATATATATATACACATATATGTGTATATATGTGTACATAATATACATATATATAAAACACAATTGTTTTCCAACGTTGTCAACACATTCTGCCAGACGGGCCTCTCGCGCCGCATGTCGAACTCATCCGAACGCCCTTGCGCGCGCTGGGGGGGGGGGGGGGCAGCGCGTCCCGCGTCAAATACCCCGCAATTGCAAATAAGAGCGAGGGGGCGGCGAGGACGTCGTCAGTCTGCGAGGCTCTGAAGAAGCCCGCCGCAGGCGCCAAACCTTCAGAAATTATGCAGCGAGACCGCCGCAGGCGCCGAATTTTTCGTTAAAGCAATGTGGGTGGATCGCGGGTTGGGTCGCGGGTGGGTCGCGAGTGGGTGGGGGTCGCGCGTGGGTCGCGTATGGGTTGCGTATGGGTCGCGGCTGGGTCACGGGTGGGTCGCGGGGTGGGTCGCGAGCGGGTTGCGGGCTAAGTCGCGGGGTGGGTCGCGGAGTGGGTCGCGGGTCGGTCGCGGGGTGGGTCGCGGGGTAGGTCGCGGGTGGGTCGTGGGGCGGGTCGCGGGTGGGTCGCGGGTGGGTCGCGGGGTGGATCGCGGGTGGGGTCGCAGGGGGCACGACGACAGCAAACAACAACAACAACAACAACAACAACAACAACAACAACAACAACAACAACAACAACAACAACAACAACAACAACAACAACAACATCAACAACAACAACAACAACAATCATGCTAAGACTGTTCGCTCTTACTTGCCCGTGTGTCATTCAAAACGAGTTCCCCACACCCTCGATATCCTCCATTATTGTTTTCGATCACGCCCCCTTTGGGGGGATGATTTCTCTTTGCGGGGGGCGGCGGGCTTGGACAGGCGGGCAAACCTGAACGGGCGGATAATCCTTCGTGGGCGTGCATGTGCGCGCCATTGGAACTGGTGTGGTGCCTGCAAAAAGAGGAGGGGGAGAACGAGGGACAGTGGGAGGAAGGGAGGGGAAGGGACGAAAGAAGAGGGAAAACGCCAGGAGAAAAGGAGCGAAGAGGGGTGCGGTTGGTTAGAAGCAGAGAGAAAGAGCGAGAGAAAGAGAGAAAGACATCTAAGAGAGGTAGAGAAGAGAGAGAGAGAGAGAGAGAGAGAGAGGGGAGAGAGAGAGAGAAAAAGAGAAACAAACAGAGGGAGGAGGCAGGAGGGAGAAGGGAGGAGGGAGAGGAGGGAAAGGGGATAGGGCAGACAGGCATAAGGATGAGAGAAGAGAGGAGGGAGAGAAAAGGGAACGTTCGAGGAAGTCCGAGGCGAAAGCGCCGTCCCTGAAGGAAGTCTCGGGCGGGAACCCACGACGGGTGGGCGATCCCCTGACGGGCGGGTCGGGCGGGTGGGACATTCAAGCGGGGTGCATGAGTATGGCGAGAGCGCGATTACTAAATAAATTGTAGCGGCGTCCTTGGCGCAGCGTGTTTCCTGAGCGTCGGAAGCGCGATTTCTGAATAAATTGCATGGGTGTCACAAGCGAGAGCGCAATTCCGGAATAACATGTGAGGAGCTCTCTGGCGGGAGCGGAGGTCTTGATTAAATTGCGAGGAAGTCTTGGCTCAATTGCGAGGGCGTCTCAAGCGGGAGCGCCGTTCCTGAGTAAATGGTTAAGAAGTCTCAGATGGGAGCGGGGGTCCTTACTGAATTGCGAGGAAGTCACAAGCGGGAGTACCGATCCTGAGTAAATTGTCAGGAAGTCTCAGGAACGGGGGTCCTGAGTAAATGTGGAAGAGGTCTCCGGCGGGAGCCGTTGTTATTGAAATCCGGGGGCCAGGGGCACAGTTTGAGCACCAAGACTTCCCCTGTCCAGAAACAGGGTGCGAGCGTCGAGGGGCATACTTTGATTGAGAAAAAACTCCATGCACTGGTGAAAAGGGTCAACAATATTTATTCTTCATGAATGGAAATGGAATAACAACAACAACAGCAACAGCAGCAACGACAACGACAACGACAACGACGACAATAACAACAAAACAACAAACACACCCATCACGGACCCCTATTTCAGCCACGCACCCAGGGACAATGCATGACCCTTCGGATCCCTTGCTCGGATAACCATGGGTGGCCGCGCGCGAATGTCGAAATCCTTCGAAGACCTCGATCGCCGACGCGAGAACATCGTTAACGTCATCGGTGGGCGCGATCAACATCGGCGCCGTCATTGTCCCTGCCGTCGTCATCGCCATCATCGCCACCATCATCGATACAATCATCGTCGTGTCCACCGTTGTCGGCGTCGCCATGGTACCGTGCCCACCGTTTTCGGCGTCGCCATGGTACCGTGCCCGCCCAAGTCACCGACTCGCACTGAAGTGCCAACGCGCGAGCGCGGCCTGCGAAACGTGCTAGGGAGTCCCCAGCAGTCAGCACCACCGCGGCAGCGTCCGTCGCGCCAGACTAACTGGCCGCTCTGCACCCGAGCCTACGCGCGCTTCGGCGGCCGCGGCGATGCGCCAGCCAGCGCCAAGTCATCGAAATCGCCCCGCATGGGTTCGGTAAGCCAAGGTGCGGGCGAGTGGGTGGGATGATGGCGAGAGAGCTATGGAATTGACAACTCAGTGCGAGCATCGGTGGCTTGCAAACATGGGATTTCCGTTCAAAAAATTCAAACCTGAAGGCCCCCGAGACCAGGATTGGCAGCCCGCCTGGGGGCGGTGCAATTTACATGCGATTCTGGCCCATCGTTCGTTCTGAATATGAAATCACACCATCCCAGCCCAGCCGGGAACGACCCCCCCCCCGCCCCACCATCCTCTGCAAAAAAAGTGCGCGCACGCTCGTTTATCACAAATCATACCTGTCCAAAAACCCCGCGCACAAAACGGGACGACATGCACGCACGCACGTCGCCGCGGGCGCATGCCGGCATCCTTCAAACGCTTCAGGTTTAGTAAAAATGTCAAGGTCGAGTGCCCAGAAACCAATAAGATACATGGTTAAACCCTGAGCCGTGAGCCGCGCGTGAGCGCGGCCTGCGAAACGCGCTGGGAAGTGCCGGCTGGTCAGCGCCACCGCGGCCGCGTCGGCCGCGCCAAGCTAGCTGGCCGCTCTGCGCGCGAGCATGCGCGGGCCAGCTCGGCCGCAGAGATGTACCAGCCAACACCACGCACTCATCGCTATCGCCCCCGCATGGGCTCGGCAGGCCAAGTTGCGAGTGGGTGGGTGGGATGAGAGCGCGAGCATTCGAACTCACAACTCGAAGTGTTTCAAAATTAATTGCCCACACATAGATTACACACTTTAGGCTGCAGCACGTAGCTTGCACAACAGATCGATCGGGAAACGCATCGCGTAGATTGCACCATACAGGTTGCACAACATATATTGCACAGCCTACGCTGCACAACGTATATTGCACATCGTGAGTTCCTAGAAACACAGCGGTTGGGGCCCACGCTGGCGAACACACGCACGAACACACACACACACACACACACACACACACACACACACACACACACACACACACGCACGCACGCACGCACGCACGCACGCACGCACGCACACGCACACACAAACACACACACACATGTATATATCACATACATGTTACATATAAGAAATTTAGAAATGTATATTACAACCACGCGCGTGCTACGCGCGCGCTTCGGTTTTAGCCGACGGCGCAGTCCTTGTCAGTGGACCGTGCGTCAATCCACAGGGAACGGGGCCTGCCCCCGCAGAGCCATTCGGCAGGTTGGACACTCTGTGCGGCTTTCGGGGATGCATCTTGGAGGCTTTTTCACACCAGATTTGAAGCCCTTCGGGGTCCCTTGTGAGTTTCCTTGGGGCCTCTTTTGGGCCTCCTGGGGGCCTCTTGGGGGCCTCTCGGTGGCCTCGGGGGTCATCTTGGGGTGGAGGGCTCGAAAGCTCAGCTCGGGTTCCCCGTCGGGAGCCTTTCTTGGGGCTCTCCTGGGGCCCTCCTCTGTTGTTTTGGGGGCCTCTTGGGCCGACTTGGGGCCATCTTGGGCCGTCTTCGGCCGTCTTGGGGCCTCCTTGGGGCCCTATCGGGCCGTCCAGGGGCGAGTTTGGGGGTCTCCTGCGCTTTCTTCGACGCGGCGAGGACTGAAAAAGTGAACGTGCTGATAATGTACTCTGTCCCCAAAGGAATTCGAAGATGTTTGGCCTCGCGATGCTGTCTTGAGGAGCCTCATGGGGGTTTCTTGTGACTCCCGGGGCGTCTCGTGGGCCGTTGGAATGTCACGTGCGGCCGTTTTGGAACACTCTTTCGGCAGGCTGGGAGCGTCGTGGGAGCCTCGCGGGTGCCCGGAGGCTATCTTGGGCGTTTCGGGAGCGATCTTGAGCCGTCTCGGGGCCTCCGGGTGCCGCCCGGAAAGCGCCCCGGGGCGGGGGGGGACGCTCGTACAAGGGGGGGCCGGCCCTGGGCCCGGTGGCCAGAATCTCCCATAGATGTGTATGTACATATATATATATATATATATATATATATATATATATATATATATATGCATATGTGTAGGAACATTTAAACATACATGTTGATATGCATACATGCATACATGCATACATACATGCATACATGCATACACGCATACATACGTACTCACATACATACATGCATGCATACATACATACATATACGCATGCACACCTACATGCACACCTACATACATACATACATACATACATACATACATACATAAAAATATAAATATATTTACATACATACATACATACATATATACATACATCCATACATACATGAATACATACATGAATACCTACATACGTACATACATACATACATACAGACAGACAGACAGACAGACAGACATGCTTGTTTGCACGCGTGCATGCATGCATGAATACATACATATATATATAATATATATATATATATATATATATATATATCTATGCATCTACAGTTGTCGGGGTTCTCTCTCGCTCTCTCTGTCTACCTTTCGCTCTCTCTCTCTCTCTCTGTTTGTGCCCCCCCCCTCAGCTGCCTCGCTGCTCTCGTGGCCACCGCCTCCCTCAGCTGCCGCACGTGCCTGCGACACCGACCACGGCAGCTCCGCCGGCGGAGCAGCCGCCACCCTCCGCCGAGGGAGACACGGCGCCTCCTCACCCCCCTCGACGGCGGGGCCCTCTGTGGAGTGCCCAGCAGTGCTCCCCCTGCTCCTGCTCCCTGGCTTTTCTTCCTGCGAGAAAGACAAGTTCCGTGTTGGGAGGAAGGGGCTGGGAAGCTACACAAAGTTGAATGTAATGTCAACACACGCTTTCAACACATTCGCTAACGTGGAAGAGCTGCTCATTCCTCCCAACCCGATCCTCCCAGTCCGATTCTTGTCTTCCCGATCCTGCTCTCCGTGCTCCGCGACGGCGCGTTCGTGCCGTGACGACCCCTGCTTTCCGACACCGCGTGGATCTTTCGGCGGCCTTCCGACTGCCAACTCGCTCCATTGGAGGAAAGAGAACTATGCACATCCTGAGCCCAGGATCGGCGCATACGCCCTCTTACCTTGGCCAGGAGGGTATATGCACCGATCCTGGGTCAAGGATGGACGTTGTCAGGATCGGTGCATGTGCATACGGCAGGTTCGTGTCGTGCCGACCCCAGCGTTGGTTTTTGACACCGCAGGGATCGTTCAACCTTGAACGATCGGCCGCTGCCGCAACGTCCGATCGTTCAACATCGATCGATTCTGGGTCGCCGGCGGCGTTCAACCTTGAACGCCCGCGCTGGGGTCGTTGCTGGTCGACACGACGCAAACCTACCGTAGTTCTCTTCACCCGATCCATGTGCCGATCCTGGGCCAATGGCGGCGTCCAGTCTTGATCGCCCGCGGCGGGGCCCGCACGACGCGAAAACACACCGCACACCGCCACTGCTCCGCGCGCGCAGGCCTTCTGAATCGCGTGGTGGCAACGCGCTCCAGTCCCCACACGAGCTGGTCTTGCGTTTTGCAGGAGGGGGGGTGGGCATGGGCGGGGCTCGCTCACTCCTTCGGCCTGGTCAACTTGACCCTGACCTCACCTGGCCGCTGTTTAGAAAGAGCTGCTGGGAGCCAGGGGGCGACAAATTCTCCAAACTCGTTGTGCGTGAAGGCGCGGCATGGGATACGCGCCAGGGCAATGTCGGGGCTAGCCAGGCAGTCACTGCTCCCCTCCCGACCTCGCTGCTCCCACTGTCCCCTGCACTGCCTCTCCCCGCTCCCTGCCCACGCTCTCCGCGGGCGGGCCGCACCCGCTGCCGCCGCCCATCCCCCCCGCAGCTCCGGCGACACCACCCATCGCTGCTGCTGCTCCGGCTGCTGCCCCGTGTGCGCTCACTGGAAATCTGCGTCGCCTCCTCCTCCTCCTCCTCCTCCTCCCTCCCTCCCTCCTCCTCCTCCTCCCTCCTCCCTCCTCCCTCCTCCTCTCCTCCTCCTCCTCCCCTCCTCCTCCTCCTCCTCCTCCTCCTCCTCCTCCTCCTCCTCCTCCTCCTCCTCCTCCTCCTCCGCCGCCCTCTGGGGCTGGGTGCGGTGGAGCCCCCACCTTTGCTGCAGCGCACACGATGCGGAACTCTTGCTCAGCGTGTCGCGGCGGCAAGCCCATGCGACACGCTACGCCTTGCAGGCTGATGGCGTGCCGCTCTGCTTCGTGGGACGGAAGGCCGAGAGAAGCTCGGGACTTTGACGCTTGGAGGCCGTGGAATTGTTAGCGCGTCGCGCCGGAGCGTGGTGGGCAAGAACCGGCGGCACGAGACGCTGAGCAAACTTTCCTGACCGTACATGTCAGCGATAGTGGGGCACACTCTTCGGCTACTCTAGGGCCTAGGATTTGCAAGCTGCCACAGAACTTCAGTAACCATCCAAGGGGTGATACGGAACTACTGTGGGCAGCTGCTGGCAGGCCAGTTTGATGCGCATAGCTACTAATGTGACCCGCTACGGTATTCTCGGCCCTGGCGACTCCAACCTTCATCACCCTTTCGGTGTATTGCATTTTTGGCCTCCGTCTGGTGGACACGAAATCCACCGACACGCCGTCGATCGGCATTTCGAGGACGGGCGCGGCGCTGCTCACACATACTGTTTTTTTCAGCCGCACGCTGACAGCAAACAATATTTTGTGTGATTGCAGCTACGCCTGGGACTCGTCAGCAGGACGCAGCTGCTGAGCCATCCTAGGTCCTGTGAACTCCATCTCTCCCCAAACCACTGCCCCTCGCTATGCTGCGCCACTGCGATGAATTGTGCTTGAAAGAAAGATCTGGCCTCAGCCGTGGCCACAGAGTCTGCGACGCAGACCTTCCGGGGCAGGTCAATCGAAGCACAGAGGCAAGGACGGGAGATCGGCACGCGGGCGGAATGCGAGGAGACCTAGCAGAGACTCAAGTACGAGCGTCATGCCGGTAAGGGAGGCAGAGAGGTAGGTGCGTAGACGTTTTGGCTCAAGGCTGCTGGCCTTCCCATTGGGGTTCCATCGCGGATGAAGATTGCGAACGAAACAGGAAGGCAAGTATTGCAATTCGGGGACTCGGCGCGCAAAAGCATTGGTAAAGAAGTGGGAAGGCGCGTGCTTCGACTGAGATATGGTAATAGCATGGCCCATTCCAGAAGCCCTCAAACCTAAAAAAAGGGCACAGCTGTGGTCACATGTTTTACTCACCGCCCCCATTTTACTTCCACTGGTGTCTGCCACGCTTCCGCCGCCTCCGCCGAGGAAGGGCAGTCATCCCTTCGATCATTCGAGGGCAAGGCCCTTTGTGAAATGCTCCACGTATTTTCAGCCCTTCCTGTACCTTCTCCTTGCCCGGCGCTGGTCGGTGGCTTTTTCCCCAAACAGTGCACCATCGTCAGAATCATCGCCGCCGCTATCATCGTCGTCATCGTCGATGCCGTCGTCCTCATTAAATTTCAGCGCGCGGGTACTTGCTCATCATCGTCATCATCATCGTCATCATCATCATCATCATCATCATCATCATCATCATCATCATCATCATCATCATCATCATCATTATCATCACCATCAGCATCAACACCAGCATCAGCAGCATCGACATCATCATCATCATCACCATCATCATCATCATCACCATCACCGTCACCATCAACATCAACAGTCACAAAATCATCATCATCGCCACCGTCATCGTTACCACCGTCATACATATCACCATCATAAACATTATAGTCGACATCGTATCGTCCCCATCTCAAGTGTCGTCGCCATCGGCATCAGCGTCAGCACCACTTTCACCTCCATCGTCGTGGGCGTCGTGGTCGTCACCATCACCCCATCACCACCACCACCACCACCACCACCACCATTGCGCGACCAGCAGAACGGACTTGTCTGCGCGGTTGAGTTCCACGCGCCCGTGCGCTCGATCAAATCGTGGCCAGATGAAACTTGCCGACAACTGGCGGGTGGCAGGGTGGAATATTTGCACGAGCAGTGGAGTTGACGACTTGTAGATCGTCCTGATGAATTGCACCGCGTGGCTCGAAACACCGACCATGCACAACTTGATGTACTCCCCACTGGCTGCACCTATACGCCATAGTTTACACCACATGGCTCTCGCCACATAGCTTGCACCACATAGCTCACGCCACATAGCTTGTACAGCATCGGTTGCACCTTATAGCTTAGACCACGTAGCTGGCACCTTACACATCCACAGCACACATAACTTACTGGTTGGGGCCCACGCTGGCAAGCAGTTGTCACACAACACGACAGCAAACAGGGCGAAAGGGCTTGCAGCGGGAAGACCGTGTGGCAACACCAGCGCCAATGACAGTAGCATGCCCCCCTCCACATCCTCACCCTCCTCCCTCTCATCTCCCTCACTCGTCGTCCTCACTCCTTCGCCCTCCCGCCTTTCTCCTGCCCGACTGCCCTCCCTCGCATCCTCCTCCTGCCGATCTTCCCTCCACGTGCTCCACAACCCTGCTCCTCTTCCGTCCCTCTCGCCCGTGAACCCTCCCCTAACTGAGGAGAACCCCCTGATGAAGGAGGAGGCGAATCTCCTAGAGGATGGGTCGAAGAGGGGGGAAGATGAGGAGGACGAGGAGGAGGAGGAGGGGGACCTCGTCCACCTCCCTCGTCCTTACCCGTCCTCACCCGTCCATGAGTCTGGAATTTTGGCGCGCGGTGCAGAGAGGAGCCCCCGGCGCGCCTTCGCACACGGGGCGCGTCCCCGTTGGCACGGAGCGGAAGAGTCCCTGAGCGAACGAGTCCCCGAGACCCTCTCCTCCCCCCTCCTCCCTCCTCCTCCGTCCTCCTCCCTCCCTCCTCCTCCTCCCTCCTCCTCCTCCTCCTCCTCTTCCTCCGCCCTCCTCCCCCCTCCCCCTCCCTCCCTCCTCCCTCCTCCTCCCTCCCTCCTCCTCCTCCTCCTCCTCCTCCTCCTCCTCCTCCTCCTCCTCCTCCTCCCTTTCGGCTACACGCAAGAACGATCTCAGGCAAGAACGACCTCTCGTGCGCGGCCTTACGGGACCGCGGCGGGGACCAAATCCAAACAGTCCAGGCGCGCCGGTCAGTGCTGGGGGGGCCCCTGTGGGCCAGTACCAAGGGTCACTCCGGCGAAGGGTCACTCTTAGACGCTTTGATCTGCGGGGCGAGAGCGAACCTCTTCCGCTAAAAGCTAGGCGGGCTACGCACAGCTTTCATCAGGGAGACAGGGCACAGGAAGGCGGCAACAAGGGTCACTCTGACACGTAGCCGAGCTTCCCTCCAGACCGTTCCTTCATCACGGGTGGCTGGGGCCCCGAAGCTGCAGAAAGCATCGAAGAGCTCAAAACCCCTCGATCCCCTCTTCCTCATGGTGGTGGACGGGGGAAGAAGGCAGGAGCAGGGAGGGAGGACAGGGCGGGAAGGGAGGAGGGAAAGGAGGAGGGAGGAAACTGGAGGAGGAGGAGGACGACGAGGAGGAGGGAGGAACATGGAGGAGGAGGACGAGGGGGAGGGAGGAGGGAGGAGGAGGAGGGCAGGGGAGGGAGGAGGGAGGGAACATGGAAGGACGGGCTAGCGGTGAGCCGCCCGTCTTGGCCGGGGGTCGGCGGCAGGGAGGGCTGGGGGGGGCGGCGGCGGCACCACCGGCGGCGACCGCGCACGTGCCGCGCGCGGCGGGGCGAGCGAGCGCCCCTCTCGCGGAGGCGCGCGGGCGCGAAGAGCATCGGGCGGGAGGGGGAGGAGGAGGAGGAGGAGGAGGAGGAGGAGGAGGAGGAGGAGGAGGAGGAGGAGGAGGAGGAGGAGGGAGGAGGAGGAGGAGGAGGAGGAGGAGGAGGAGGAGGAGGAGGAGGAGGAGGAGGAGGAGGAGGGCGGCTCCCTCTCGCGGAGGGCGGCTCCCTCTCCTGGAGGGCGGCTCCCTCTCCTGGAGGGCGGCTCCCTCTCGTGGAGGGCGGCTCCCTCTCGTGGAGGGCGGCTCCCTCTCGTGGAGGGCGGCAAGCGAGGGGCGGGGGGGAAGTGAGGAGGAGGAGGCCCTCGCAGAAGGCGGCGGGGCTCTTCGGCAGCCCCCTGGCCTGCTGACAAGCGTCCTGTGTCTTCGGGGAGGGCTCAGAGAACTGCTCAGGCGGCCGGGGGGCTTCCGAGCCTCCTGGGAGGGCCCGCCGCCTCTCACTTCCCCCCGCGGGCTGGCCGCCGAGAGGAGGTCGAGGTGGAGGAAAACAAGGAGGACGACGAGGAGGGGGAGGCGAATGAACAGGAGTGGCGAGAGGAGGGCAATTCGGCGGTGGACAAACCTCCCTTTAATAAACCTCCCCTTCGTGAAAACGGCCTGGTTCCGGAACGGACAGACCTGGACCCGCAAAAACGACGGCCGCGACGCCCTCTCGCGAACCGAAAGCGGCCAATTCCTTAATCGACGTGTCAGGGTAGGAGGTCTATCCACCTCCGGGCAATGGGGGCATGGACAGGGAGGAGAGTAATACAAACCTTCACGTTCGTAATGTGATCGATGTACAGCGAGTCGGTTTGCGTGCAGCCGTCATCGAAGAGCACGGCGTTGCCTGCCCGGAAAGGCATGCAGTTCAGCACCGGCAGGAGAGGGAGAGGGAGGGAGGACGAGGGTTGGAAAAGAAGGACACGGGGCAGAGGGGGGAATGAAGGTGGTCGGGAAAGAAGGCGGACGATGACGAGCAGAGGGTAATAGGGAAGATGGAGCAGGACGGGGTGGATGAGGGAGAGACCAAGAAGAGGATGGAAGCTGACAGGGTAAGGGAAACGAGGAAGATCTGGAATCTGCGAGGAAGCGCCGGCGGGGCGCTCGCGATGCGAGGGTGCGGGCGGCACCCATCACGCAGCCCACCTCCACGATGGGCTCGTAGCCGGCAGTGACGGCCGGGGTCACTGCAGTGACGACTGCTGAATACAATTCGGCCTTGGTGCGATAATGGGGCGGGAAAGTAGTAGCAGGATGCCAGTGGCAGACGGGAACACGCGGGAGAGAGAATTGCAAGGGGCGGAAAGAGGCATAGGCAAGAGGTGCGCAGTAAACTGGCGGGGTCAAGGTGGCCCGGGTTTAAGGATCGGTGGGTGAGATGGAAAATGCGGGCAGGAGGATGGGGAGGATGAGTATGACAAAAGATCATGCGCGTTGGTAGCGAGACATGGGATGCCACTCTCGCGCACGCGATCTCGTGCGCACTGAAAGGCTGACGCCGTAAGCGGTACGAATGATTTCTAAAGCTGGCGAGATGCCCGACGGATTCCTCAGACCGTGCGACCGTGCTTCACCCCTCCCAACTAGAAGCCCCCAAAACAACTCCGTGGTCTACTCCCCCACACTCTTCCCTCAACATGCATTCCGAAACGATGTGTGGAAGAGGACTACGTGTCCCAGAAATTCCGACGACGACCCGTGGGCCCACGATTTTGCCCCAAGCGCCCCCGGAAGTCAAACTGTGTACGTTTCGATTGATTTAGAACGCGTTTGACACTTTTCCCTTTCGAGTTCAAGATAGCTCCAGGGCAAGCAGTGAACAGCGAGGGTCAGGAGGCTGTAAGCCGAGACCCCGCTGCTCAGGATGACGTCGTAGACGTGTCACGGTCTCCCATAGCTGATCCCATACTGAAGGGCAAGAGGGTAGGCGAGAGACAGTACATGCTATGAGAGGATGCACCATCGAAGGATGTGGCCGTCTCCTTTTATCCGCCACTCCGGTGCAATAGTACCTCGCTGACAAGAGGTAGTCGTATAGGACAGCGCTGTCTTGAGCCAGACAGCGGCGGAGGTGGGCAAGACGCTCGCCATGCTCACCTTTGCCCCTTTGACCTTCCTTCAAAGGCAGGGGGGGAGGAGCTGAGCGTCGAGCCACGCCAAAATACAGAAATACAGTGTGTATACATATATATATAGCAGACAAGCAAAGGGTAGAGGGTGATCGTTTTTCGAAGGCCCAAGCGAAGCAGTTACTAACATTCAAGGAAGACAGCGCCAGCCGTGGGAAAGCTCATCACGGCCAGCAGCGTATTAGGGTTGGTCGTGGCAACACACACACGACCAACCACGGCTGAGAAGGTTTAACCCACTGCTTTGAGCGGTGGGTCGACCCAAATTAGGGCGGATGCCTGAACAAACCTTCAGGCATCAAAGCGCGCGACGCAATTTAAAAGGAGCCCGTGTCCGAGAAGATACTGACAGGATGCCCGTGCCCGAGCACGCGCAGGCTCCTCCGTATGGTGTGTACCGCTTTACCTCATACTTGAACGACTGTAAACCTTCCAATACTTGTAGTAATAGCTCACGATCAATGCAGCCTTTGGTACGGCGGTCCGCTGTAATATCACGTGTGTCCCACCACTGTACGCTATGAGCGATTCCTCTGATATGTCCTGACAGGGTACATCCGGGTTGCTTCGCCAGGTCCGTACTCGATAGGGACTTGAATACCGACCGGGCATCAATGGTGAGGCTAGCATTTATGCTTAGACCACTTATCTCTATGATGTTTCCGAATTGTGTCGGCGTAGGTGGTCCAGTCTGGGGGCCCAACAGGCCCCCCGGACGGCCCCAAGAGCGCCGAAGATCGGCCCAAGAACGCCCCAAACCCGAGAGGCGATTTCGAGGGCGTAAGGGGGGGAGGAAATTTTGGACCCCCGCAATGAGCGATAGACTCAAAGATGGCCCGCCACAAGAGGCCCTCCAGGGCTTCCAAAGAGGGCCACCAAAGAGCCCCGAGAGGGCCCCAAGAAGGCCCCAAGAGCGCACAAGAGCGCCCCAACAGCGCCCCACGAGGGCCCCAAGAGGCGGTGTGCCTCCTCTTCCTCCTGCTCCTCCTCCTCCTCCTGTCGCTCCCCCGCGAACCCCAGTGATGGCCTGACGAGGCCCTCAAAAGCCCACCCCCTGCTCCTAGAGCTCTCTCTGTTCATCCTGGTTGCCCGCTTTTTTTCAAGGTATGTATATAGATTTCTATGTATGGATCGATGCAGGTAGTATAGATACAAATATAGGAAAGAGCGTGTTCTACCGCTGCTGGCGGAAAACCGGGGGGGGTCACTACTGGTTCGAACCCCTCCCCCCCCCGCCCCCCCCCCTCCGGAAAACCGGGGGGGGGTCACTACCGGTTCGAACCCCTCCCCCCCCCCAGTTCATCCTGAAAAGGGGGGGGGGGTCACTACCGGTTCGAACCCCCCCCCCCTCTCGAAAACCGAGTGGGGGTGCGGACAGTGGTGGGGACGGTGTTGGTGGGGACAGTGGTGAGGGGACAGCGGGACAGTGGTGGGGACAGTGGGACAGTGGGACAGTGGTGGGGACGGTAGTGGTGGGGACAGTGGTGGGGACAATGGTGGGAACGGGGGGGACAGTGGACAGTGGTGGGGACGGTGGTGGTGGGGACAGTCGTGTGGGGACAGTGGGAATGAGGTGGAAACAGTGGGATAGTGGAGGGTACAATGGTGGTGGGTGGGGACAGTGGTGAAGGCGGTGGCGAGGACGGCGGTGGGACAATGGGACAGAGGTACAGTGGGGACAGTGGTGGGGACAGTGGGGACAGTGGTGGGAACAGTGGGACAGTTCAGTGGGACAGCGGAGGAGTCAGTGGGACAGCGGGGACAGTGGGGATAGTCGGGCAGTGGTTGGGTCCGTGGAGACAGTGGGGAGAGTGGAACCGTGGTGGGAACAGTGGTGGGAACAGTGGGGACAGTGCGACAGTGGTGGGGGCACTGGTGGGGACAGTAGGGACGGTGGTGGAACCAGTGGGGACAGTGGTGGTGAGGACAGTGGTGCTGGGAACAACAGTGGGATGTGATGTGGACGGTGGTAGGGACCGGGAGTCGTTTGCTGGCGGTGCGTGGGGGGAGGGGGGTCGAACCGGTAGTGACCCTCCTCCGGTTTTCGAGGGGGGGGGGGGGGGGTTCGAACCGGTAGTGACCCCCCCCCGGTTTTCCAGATCCGGAGGGGGGGGGGGAGGGGTCCGAACCGGTAGTGACCCCCCCCGGTTTTCGAGGGGGAGGGGGGGGGTGGGGGGGGGTTAGGGAGGGGATGTTTTGCCGGGGAGGGGGGGCGGGGAGGAGGGGGGGGGGGGCCAGGAGGGGGGGGGGGGGGGATTTTCGGAGGGGGGGGGGGCGACCCCCGGGTTCCGGAGGAAAAGGCTGGCAATTTTCCACAGTAAAGCGGCGGTGGATCACGCTCTCTCAAATATAGTTGTAGGTATGTGTAGGTAGGCATGTAAGGTTCAAGTATATATGTGTATGTGTAGTTGTATATGATGTAAACATATACATGTGTAATCTGTGTTGTGCATGTATGTCAGTAGTGTTGTATGTCTGTACGTATGTAATTCGACAAGTAAGCATGCATGTGTGTTTGTATGTACGTCTGCGCATGCATCTGCATAGGTATATGTATAGTTATGCGCATGTGTAGATGTATATGCGGATGAAACTGCATATGTAAACGTATGCGTATATGCACGTGCATGTGTATATACATACAAATATACGTGTACGTGAAGTTATGTATATGGTTATGTAAATATGTGTGTATACATGTAAAAAACATTCGTACATGTAACATGCACGTGTATATGTATATGTGTATGTATATGTGTTTATATACGTATGTATGCATGCAGCTGTATGTTTGTCTGAGCATGGAAACGTATATGTATTTGTAGGTGGTGGTGGCTCTGGTTATGTATATGGTTGTGTGTGTGTGCTCATGTATCGGTGTATCCATGTATAGTATATACAGAGAGATATGTTGGCGATGCGTTACCTGCTGCATGCTCACCTGCTACACCGTCGTCTGCTGAGTGCGGCCGCCCGGGGATGTGGCCTAGATAGATCATGGGTACAGCTCGCACAGAATGAGGAAATTCCAGTATTGATTGAAGCCGAACTAAGAGAGTTGGTGTTGCCTTGCCGAAGTGTGCTTCCTGACCCTGCGTGGACACCCATCAGCAAAAAATCTCGCCGATGCAACCAACAACTTGCTCCTGCTGCGAACCATCAAACCAAGGACTCTCCCCCACAACTGCTTTGGTGCTAGGAATACGCGCTTGACACTGTGTCTGAGAAGTCAGCTTGACTTGAGAAGGATCGTGATGCCACACGAGGGAGTGACGAGTGGCTCATGCCGAAAACCTGCACGATGACACCTGAAACGATCGACGGTTCGCACGGGTTCGAACAATTGTCCGCTGCCTCTACGCTGCGTGCCGCCGAAAATAATCAGGTCATGACTTGGGCACTCTGCTGCGGTATCGGCTCATGTCGCGGTGCCCGACTGCAGACGGGTTGTACAAGGGCTGGACCTAGGCGTTGTGGTTCGTTTTGCGTTCGTTGTGTTGTTCGTTTTGCTTTTAGCTGTCTTCCTGTATATCCGGGTCAAAGCGAAAAACGAAACGCAGCCGAAAACCAGCAAAAAAGCGCTTAGGTCGAGCCCTGGGTTCTCTACCCTACGGATCGAAGCAGCCCTGCGGGCAAGCGACCTCCGCCTGCGGGCGGACCGCAGCCGTGGCCGCCACGGGCGCGAGGCCCCCTCGTGCGCGCGGTCCGAGCACCCTCTGAGGTGGCGCGGCGCATCTCTCAATGATCCGGGCCACCTGCACGAAGGTCGGGGGCGCGCAAACATGGACTAGCGATCCATGGACTGGCGCGCGATCGCCAAGTCCACGGATCGGGGAAGATGCCCTCCCCACAATGTGGATGGTGCCGCCTCGTTCGGCGGCGGACATTCGAGATTTCCGATGGAAAGAGGACCCATCGTTAATCCACGCCACCTTGATCCATGTTTGCGGTCGCCTGAGAAGGGGGAGGAAGACGAGACCTGGAAGAGGGGCGGGGGCTCGGCTGGGGGGAGGGGGGAGGGGCAGGCTAAGCCACGCAGAGACCCACAGACAAACCCAATACCGAGACCGCAGAAACACACGACCAGGACTGCAGAGCGGGAGAGCGCTGCCCATCTAAGCGCAGCCAGTGCCCCTTCGTGCGCGCATCGTTGCTCGACCACTCGTCCTCTTCATCCACCCATCCCCCGCCTGCACTACTCCTCCTGGCCTCATCCAGCCGCTTACCCATGGCACTCCTCGAAACTGGCACTCTGCCCATCCTTTCCCTCGCCCAAAGATGCCCTCCGTCGATCCGCCCATCCGCCCAAAACAGAGTCCTGCTGCCCCGAAGCTGCCACTGCTCCCCCCGTGTCCTCCCTCCCCTCCTGTCCCTGCCGGCCTCGCCCGCCGGCCTCGGGCCTCCCTGCGCCACTGGTCTTGAGCAGGGACCGACCGCCCCGGCATTCCTATATAGTCCTACCACGCAATGTTCTTAGAACCCAAAAATGTTCTAAGAACAAAAACACTGTTCTTAGAACGTTGGCCCGATGTGTTAAACCAAGGCAGACTCCGCCAGAAACGCTGTAAGAACATTCCGTGGAAACCACACAAGGTTCTCAGAATCTTTGCTTGGTATGGCTATAGGCACGCCGGGACGCTTCGCCACTGCTTGAGCCTCGGGCCTCCCTGCGCCACTGGTCCCGCGACTGCTACCGCCCCTGGCTGCTGCTGCCGTCGCTCGCCCTCGCCTGCCGGCGCTCCCCGCGGCGGTCGGCGGGTGCGGGGCCCTCCCCGGCGTACGGCTGAGGCGAGGACCGACTCGTGATGTCCTGTCGGCTCGGCGGTCTCTTTGCCCGGACGGAAACGGAACGGAGCCACGCGTGGCAAGACGCGGAGGTACATGCTGCTGATGCTGATGGTCATGGTCACACTCATCATAGATAACCATGATACTCAATTACGAACAAGAATAACGGCAAGAAAATACGAGCACTACGATTATTTCATTACTACTACGATTCTTACTACTACTACTACTACTACTACTACGACGACGACGACGACGACGACGACGACGACGACGACGACGACGACGACGACGACGACGACGACGACGACGACGACGACTACGACTACGACTACGACTACGACTTCGAGCTAGACTATTACTACTACTACTTACTACTTACTACTATTACTACCTACTTACTACTACTACTAAGACTACTTACTACTTGTTAGTAAACTTCTAGTAAACGTTATACTAGTACTAGTACTAGTTACTTGTCTTTTACTACTATTACTACTACGACTATACGTATGCTACTACTACTATACTACTACTTACCACGACTACGACTACTACTGCTTACTACGATAGTAGATAGTAGTAGTATACTACTCTACTACGGACGACGACGAACACGGACGACTACTTATTAATACTTAACTTACTACTAGTATACTTACTACTAGTACTACTACAACTACGTACTTACTACTGGACTACTACTACTACTGCCACTACACTACCACTACCACTAATAGCTTTATACTACTACTTCTAAAATTATCTACTACTATGCTACTACTACTACTACTACTACTACTACTGCTACTACTATTTTCTACCACTACTACTACTTCTTAACTACTACTACTACTACTACTACTACTACTACTACTACTGCTACTACTACTACCACCATTACAACTACAACAACAACAACTACTACTACTACTACTTCTGCTACGACGACGACGACGACGACGACTACTACTACTACTACAACGTCGACTGCTAATACACATAAGAATACCACTACTACTACGACTACTACTACTACTACGACAAATACTACTACTGCCACTACTACTGTTACTGCTGCTACTACTACCTCTACTACTACTACGAGTACCACTACTACTACGACTACGACTACGACTACGACTACGACTACGACTACTACTACTACTACTATATCTTTTTCTACTACTTTACGGACTTACATTACTACTTATACTAATACTACTAGTGTCTATTTCTTGTTATACTACTAACCATCTACTACTACTACTACGACCACTACGACTACTACTTACTACTACTACTACTACTACTACTACTTATGACTACTACTACTACTTCTACTACTTACTACTACTAACTGGTTCGTATGTATAGGTTTACTACTACTTACTACTATACTACTAACTGACTACTACTACTACGACTAATACTAATGATTGTAACTCTACTTATCTACTACTACTACTACTACTACTATTACTACTACTACGACTACGCTATCTCCGACCACCACTACATTACTACTACTCCTACTACTACTACTACTACGGCTGCGCCTATGATTACTTACTACTTACTACTCTATAATACTACTTACCACGACTACTTTCTATTAACTACTACTACTACTACTACTACTACTACTACTATACTACTACTACTACTACTACTTCTACTAATAACCTCTACTACTACATATTTAATACTACTACTTTCTACTACTACTACTCTACTTACATACTACCACTTACTACTACTTGACGACTACTACTACTACTACTAACCATACTACTACTAATACTACTACTATACTACTACTATTACTACTACGACTAGTACTTCTATACTACTATTTTTTTTTTGTTTTTTTTTGTTTTGACTACTACTACTACTACTACTACTACTACTACTAGTACTACTACTACTACTACTACTACTACCACCATCCCAATACAACTGTGCCATAATAAGGACACTGATCGTGGTAAGGAGAAAGACGATAATAATCGTACTGGTAGCAATAAACCATGGTATAGTAATGATGAAGATGCTGATAGTACTAATTCGAATGTTAATGACGATTATGATACAGATACTAATGATCATGATTCATGGTGATGATCGTGGTGGTGGTGGTGGTGCTGATTATGACGCTGATATGGTGATGGTGATGATGGTGATGATGTTGATGATGATGAGACGCCCGACGGAGGTGGAAATTCCCGGTTACCACGAGGCTCTACCGCGCTGTCGTTACAGCCAAGGCTGCGCAAACAATGACCTGCCACATCCCCAATAATTTCGGAACCTCGCGCTCCGGCCAGGACATGGCGGGAAGTCCAGCCAGTTCCTGTGGGAGAGGCAGATGAGGAGCAGGGAGACAAGGGCAACGGGCGGGAAACCAAATGCGACCATTCTGGGCTTGGGGGCGCTGGGGAAGGCGACGGGTCATCCGGCTGTTCTGTCGCAGCATGACGTCGTGATGCGCACACACAGAGCTCGCTCGCGTCCTCCAGCGCGGCGCGCAAGGCGGAGAGCACGCCGCCGGCGACCGTCTCCGCAACCCCCGCGCGCCGCCGAAGTGGCCGCGCACGTGGCAGGCCTCGACCACCGTCGGATCGCAACGGCCCGCCGAGAGCGCGCCTTCCACCAAGGCGAGGGCGAGTGGCTGCTGGCCCTGCGCGGCGATGGCGCACTCGACGCAGGGCGGGCGGTTGAGCAGGAGCCACGCCACCGCACGGCCGAGCGCAGCGCCGGGGAGGAGGCCTGCTGGGGCGCCGACACGAGAGGCCAGCTCCGCGAGGAGCGCAAGGGGGGCCCAGAGACCCTGCAGTCCATCGAGACAAGCACGCTGGAGCTGAACAAAGCTGGGTGCAACCTCTTTGGGCTTACAGCTCACATCAAGACTGTCATTCATTGATTCATGCCAGCGGAAACGCGCGTCAATGCCGCGCGCCCCAAACACCCCGCGGCCCGCCAACATGCGGCCCGCTCACACCTTGGAGGTGGGTGGAGAACCCTCCCCGGTCCAGGCGGGTCTTTCACGCTCTCCCCCCCTCTGCGGGCGGCGCTGCCCGTCGGGAGCCCGCGGCGCGACGTGTCGAAACATGTGCGCCACTGCGACAAATCACAACCGCAGCCCTGGGCCCCATTTTTCAGCGGCATTTGCGTAGCCCTGGGCCCCGTTTTTCAGCGGCATTTATTCGAGCAGGATGGATCGATGATGGCTCCGCACACCGGACGAGAACGCCCGGTGTGGAAACTACTCCAGAAAAGGCCCCTAACAGAAGCGAGAGTATGAAGGAAGGTCGAGGAGCAGGATGTCGGCGAGTGGCAAGGATGAGACGACGGCCGCGTGCACCTTACAATCACTCGTTACAGGAGCGGACCAGAAATGTCGCAGCAGCGATGCAAGAGCACGATTCCCAAATGAACGAGCAAGTCTTTGGCGCGAAACGGCTGCCGCATCGGGCGATCGGGGGCTCCCCGTCGCCTCTGTAGGACTCTTCTGTGGTCTTCAACCACCATCGGAACCCCCTGGCGTAACGATCTTGGGGAGGATAGCGTGTCGCTCTGCCCCGCGAGTCGGGAGGTCGGGAAAGGCTCGGGACGTTGACGCTGGTGGACCACAAGTGGATTGCGTGTTTCGCGCCGGAGCGCGGTGGGCCAGAACCGGCGGAGAGGCACGCCATCCAGGAGCTCCCGACCACAACCGATACCAAGGCTGTCTGGGTGGCCCCCCCATCGGGATGCCGCCAGGTCCGCCCCTGTCCGCCGAAAACGACGGGGCCCCCGCGTGCCCCGGGGGGCGGCGCGCGGTCCTGCGGCAACCATGATGGTCTGGAAGCTCGTCGTCAGGATCAGCGGAGCCTCGGCTCGGCGCGGGCACCGCCGCGGATGAGCAGCTTCCGTGGGGGCACCTGCTGGCAGGCTGGATTCTTATTTGGTGCGCCTGCTGCAGGTGACCCAGCGTCGCGCGTCGCGACCCGCGATGCGCGGTGACCTTGGCGCCCTCGCAAGGCCACGTCGGAGGAGGGATGCCCCCGGGGGTGATCTAGTCTAGCTGCCTTCCTCCCCCCTCTGTCCGTCTCTCTTTGCATACGATCGCCTCTGTACGCGCACATCGGAGGAAGAGGAGGAGGAGGAGGAGGAGGAGGAGGAGGAGGAGGAGGGGAGGAGGAGAGGGAGGAAGGAGGAGGAGGAGGAGGAGGAGGAGGAGAGGAGGAGGAGAAGGGGGAGGAGGGAGGAGGGAGGAGGGAGGGAGGAGGAGGAGAGGAGGAGGAGGGAGAGGAGGAGAGGAGGAGGAGGCGCTCGCGCACTCACGCTGCGACGCCCCGGGGCAGCGGTTTGCCCGAGGCTGCCTGCTCTCGCCCGCCGCGGGCGCCGGGCGGTCTGACGCTACAGGTGCACTCGCTCGCCTCCTCCCTCCTCCTCCTCCCTCCCCTTCCTCCTCCTCCTCCTCCTCCTCCTCCTCCCCCCCTCCTCCCCCCCCCCCCCCCCCCCCCCCCCTCCTCCTCCCAGCTTGGCCAATCGAAGCGGCCCAGGCT